TTTTTATTTTGGATCGTTTATTGTCACATACACAGACACAGAATCGACAAAATAATAATGATGATAAGATGTTGATGATGCATTTTATGAATGATATTCTGATGATGATCATCATAATCATCATCAAGATTGTAATCATTTCGAATGGGAAAAAAAATCTTTTTTGCTTTTTTCAATCTATAAAAATATATCTCATGCTGTGTATGTTTGTGTGTGTGTGTGTGACCCTTTGAACCATGTGAAGCATGTGAAACATTTAAAAAAGATGGATTTCTTCATTCATTCATTCATTCTTTGTTGTTAAATTCAGCATTGAATTTGCTACAAAAATGGTTTTTTTTGTTGTTGTATCTTTCGTATCTCAGTTCAATGATTTTGATGATGATGATTCGTTTTTGTATCAAAACAACATCTTGGTCTCTCTCTCTATATATATTATTCATCAACGAACATTATTGCTATTTTTTTCTGTTATGGTTGTTGTTGTTATTGTTCTGGTTGTATTGTCTATTTTGTTATTGTTCTGAATCTTTATTTTTTTCCATATCGTTCATCATCATCATCATTGGGCCACTACTGTAACAAGTTTATTTTGAAAGAATACTGAGAAAACCAGAAAAAAATAGTCAAGTGGAACTGAATGAAAGGAAAAGAAACATTTCTTCTTCTGCTTGATGATCTTTTTATTTTGTCTTTTTTTTCTTCAAATTCTCGGCCAAAACAACAACACACACACTTGCTACACACATTAACTTGTTTTTTTTTTCTCTCTCACTCAATGGCACTGTGTTCTGATCTGTTTAAAATTTATAAAGAACAACCATCAACAACAACCAAAACAACCAAAAAGAATGGTCATTTGGAATTTTTTATATTTTTTTTTTGTTCGAGTGAAAATGTAGAAAAATTAAGTGAAAATTGATTATTGTATGTGAAAAAAACAGGATTCTTCGTTTTGGAAATCAGAATGCTGTTTGTTGTCATTCGATGATAATAGGAAATTTACCGAAAAAAAAATAAAAATATAAAACTTTACAGACAATTTATTAGTTCTGTATCATCATTATCATTATCATTATCATTGACAATGTACAATACTTTTTTTTTAGTTTTGTTTTGCTTTGCAAGAATCGGTATTTTTTTCGGTTGTTTGAAAAAAATGTTATGCCCCTTATGAAAAAAAATGAAAATGTTTTTCATTTTGTTGGCAACATTTATCGAAATGGAAAAAAAATATGAAAAAAAATTATTATTATTACATGCATATGTATGTGACATGTGTGTGTTATTATTATCAGATATTTTGCTTTTGAATGAATGAAATGAATGAAAACAATGTTTGTGTTTGTGTGTGTGTTTGGTCTTGTTCGTTTCCTTGTCTCTCTCTATGTGTGTGTGTGTATTACACAATGTTTGATTCATTCATTCATTCATTCGTCTGGTTGGATGGCAAAATTCTTGTTTTTTTTTGCGTAATAAGACAAAAATTATCATTTTTGTTTTGCTTCTGTTTGTCTGTTTGTTTGTTTGATAACAACCATTATACAATGCAATTACATGCATGATGATGACTGAAATTCAATATTTTCAATGTTGAATTTTTCAGTTTTTTTTGATTTTCAAAGTTTTTATTTTTTGATTGTATAAAACACTTTGGTATTTTGTCAATACTTTACATCTGTATGTGTGTGGGTGACATATAAAATTAAAATTCTTCTTTTCTTCACCATTTTTTCACTTTGAAAAAATCAATTTATGTTCCTTTTGGTTTGATTTTCGTAAGGCCATAACGTCCATTTGTTACGCATCTATATGGTCGATTGCACTCCTTTTCTCTCATTTTTTTTATTATTGTTTTTCTTTGTTTGTTATCTTTTTATTTTGTTTCGGCATCCATCCATTTTCTTGCTTCTTTTTCTCATTTTCTTTATCACGTTTATAAGAATTGTCATAATATTCGGTTTTGTTTTTCTGTTTTGTTTTTCACTTTTTATTCCATTTTATATTGTCTACATTTTGATTGTAATAAAACGACAACAAGCAAACAAACAAGCAAGGAAGATGATAAATTTAGTGAAGAAAAGAGCATTACATTCTTTGTGTATACGTGTTGTATGTCTTAATTTCATTTTGTAAAAAAAACAAACATTAATATTCGAGTCATCTATAATAATAATGGAAAGGGAAAAAAGAAATAAATAAATGAATGAATGAAACAAAAACAATAACATCATTTTTACTTTTTTTTATCGGTCATGTCATAAAAATAATTGAATAACCACCATCAGAAAAAAAAGGATTCGATTTGAATCTTTGTAAATAGTTTTCTATTCTTGCATAAATGATTTTATTCTTGTTTAATCATTTATATTGTCAATTTTATTGTCTATTTTCTACAAAAAAAAGTAATAATAAAAACAAAATTTCAAATTGATAATAAAAACAAACGACAACTACAAATTTTCAAAATTTCTTCTTACCTTTTTCCTTTTTGGATTGTTATTTTATCTGAAATTTGTTTTGTTACATTGAATGAAATAATTCTTGATTACTTTGATTTCATCGAAAATGAAAGATGATCACCATTGATCGATATTTATTTGTTTTGTTCGCTATACACAATAAACAAAAGCAAAAACACAAACAAAAATCAGATCGAATAACAAACAATTTGTTCATTTCTTAAGTATCATCATTGTTTCTTGTTTATTTGAATTTGATACGAACAAAAATTTTTCGAAAAAAAATTCAATCGATAATGATTTTGATTGTTGTTTATACGAATCAAGAATCCCATTTTGTATTCGATTCGAACATATATTCATAAATTCGATTTGCGCATATTTGTTTACAATAAAAAAGTATGCGCAAATCGAATTATAAATTTTCAGAATTAAAAAAAAAAATTTCCGAAATTCTTTACTTACATCATCAGTGAAAAAGTTTATGGAAGTTTTTTTCTTCAAAAATTTTCGGAAAAAAAATTCATCAATTATTATTTGATTATAAAGAATAACTGGAACTTAATTTATGGTCGTTTGCAAATCAAAAGCTCAGCTGGTTTTTATCATTTTTTGGGTTCTCCACCCCCATTCATCATCATCATTAATTTATTCATTGATAAAGATTTCAATCTCTCATTTCCATTATCTATTTAAATGTTTTCTTTATGGGTGAGGGAGGAAAACGAAATGAATGAATGAATTTCAGCAACCAAAGCAACCAAAAAAAAAAAAAGTTATTTCCATACGAATTATGGCCGTGAAGCTTACATTTCTTCTGCTAGTGGTGGTTATATGATGGTGGTATTAAATTGGCCTAAATCACGCAATTTTTTTTGAGTCTGGTTGTGTGTTTTGGATTTTTTTTTCTGTTTTTCAAAACAATTTTCCTAGAAGTTTCATTTTTTTTTGGACTTATTTGAAGTCAGTTTTTCAACAACAACAACAACAACAACAATATTCTATATAACGAAGGAAATTATCATAATGAAAATTCTCTTGGTCTCTCTTTTTCTTCCATTCTGTTGTCACACAGAATCACAGAATGATTGTAATAAAAACAGATAGAATTGTGGTGATAAAGACAAAAACATCACCATCATCATCATCATCATTATCATGATGATGATGTTTCCGTCAAACAACGTTGACGATAATTTTGAACGATGATGGTCATCATTTTTTGAAATAATGTTCTGTTTGTCACTCTGTCTCTCTCTCTGTCAAAATGTTGGTTAAAATGATGGACAAGAAGAATCTTATTCTGTATTTTTTTTTCTTATCGAACAAGCAAATTTGAATTTTAAAATTTTTCAACCAAAAAAAAAAAATTTTGTTTTTGTTACGAAACATATGTGCTCGGGTGAAAAAAAAGTAAAGTTTTTTTCCACTCGTTGTTCGGTCGACAAGAATTTTCATTATAGTTTTTTTGTTCGTTTGCCTTTGTTCGAATGTAAATACACATTCATTGTCGTCGATGAAGATTTCAAATTGCAGATAGTCCGGGTGAAAAAAAAGTGAATTTTTCTTTTTATCAAAAAAAAAATTTAATTAAATTAAAGTTTACAGAATCTTTCAATGGTTGGAAATGTGAAAGAATTTAATTTTTTTCTGGAGGGGGTGGAAAATTGTCTCTATTCTGTTTTTTTTTCCGACAATCATTTTTGCTGATTTTGGGATTTTTTGATTTGTTCAAAGTTAAGAAAAAATAATTTCTTTTCGTTTGGTTTGACACATTCCAATCATATATGATTATCACCAACAGAATCAAGAGAATACTTTTTGTGTTTTGGAAACAAACAATTCTTTTTCGATTGATTGATTGATTGATTGTCAATCTTTGATTGTGTTTTTTTATTTCAATTCTTATCTGTTTTTTTCCACTTTAACATCAGTGAAATATTAATGAATTTCTGATTTTTTTCATTTGAAAACATTTTTTTCCCTATAATAATAATGATAACCCAGAGGCATAGGCAAAATTTTTAATGGCCGAAAAAAAACTTTGATTTTTTTTCAATAATGAAAAAAGGAATCGCTCAAACCGACCACCCACTACTGCAAAAGTTTTTCTAAATTTTTTTTTTGTTGAAACAAAAAGTTTTCAACCAGAAAACTAAAAAACGATAATAAAGCATTTTCCTTTTCAGCCTTTGTTAATGAATTCCAATTAAAACAAGAAAGAAACAAAAAACGTTTTACATTTTAAATAATAATTATAATGAGAAAGTTGATTCATTAATATTGACTGTTGATTGATTGATTGATTGTCAATCCAATTAGTCTAATGTTGAATAACAGTATTTGTTGCTGGGCCAAAATCTGATGACCTATTATGTTTTCTTTGCTAATTTTTCATGTTTTAAATGAGAAAAATTGGATTTGAAAATTGTTTCACACACACATGGTGGAGTATAAAAACCAGGTGTTTCATACAACGACAAAATCTGTTGACGTCAAAGAACTTTTATTATTGTTGTTTTTGTTGAATTTTTTTTTGACTTTTCTGATTTTTTCACTGTACAACATGTTTATCTATTTTGTTTCAATCATTTACCTGATCAATATTGTTTTTGGATTATCATCAGCATATGATATTGGTTATGATGATCATGATAATAGTTATTCAATGGGTCCAAATAAAGTTAATGCTGCTATAAATACAAAATTACAAGTGAAAACTGTACCGGTTCATAGTTCAAAATATGGTGGTGGTGGTGGTGGATCAACCGTAGTCGATATAAACGGTAATGGTGGTGGAAATCTAATATTACGATTTAATGGTGGTGGTTCAAATATACAAACCATTCAAAAAGGAATTCAATCCGGTAATGGTAAAATACAAAAACAATCTATTATGGCTGAACCTGATATACTTGTACAAAATGTACAAAAACCAATTATACAAAAAATACGTATGCAAATTCAACCAATACGACAAATAACACAGGAAATACGTCCAGTTGAAGAAAAAATTGAAACAGTTATTGCAAAAGGTATGGAAGAGGAAAAATATCCAGCAACGCAAAAATATCATTCACCATCAACACAACCACAACCATCTTCATATTGAAAAATTTTTGAAAAAACCAAAATAAAATCTGTTGTTTTCTGAGCAGAAATGCTTCTTGTTTGTTTCATTTGATTCAATGGAAAAATGTTTGTTGTTTTTCACCAAAAACAAAAAATTCACATCTGTTTTTGAAATGTGTTTTGACTTTTTTCGATTCTCTGATGATGATGATGATAATGATTGTGTTTGTGTCAATCAATCAATCAATCATTTTCAATGCAAAAAATTGAAAAATCATTAATAACTTTGGATGGGTGATATAATGAAATGAAATCAAAATAAAGTGTATCTGTGAATTGAAACTTGAAATAATATTTTTTTCAAATATGGGAAAAAACAGAAAGTTATAAAGAATGTCACATGAGTGTTTTGTTTGTTTTTATTCTGTTGTTGTTTGTTGTTTGAAATTTGGAATTGAAAATGGAAAAGTTGTTGGAAATTTTTCCAATTTTTCTGCTGAACAATTCAAAATTTCAATTTAAAAGAATTGAGGTACTGGAAAATTTTGTTGAAAATTGCTTATTCTGTCTTCTGGGTTATTGGTTTTACAGATTATTTTCCTTCTTCACTTGAACTAAAACATCATTAATGATTCTGAATGATTTAATCTTTGTATCTTTTTCCTTTGCTTGTTTGTTTTTTTCGTCATAAAAAAACTAATGTTTTTCGTTTTGTTTTTTTCATCCATTTTTTTAGAGCTCAATTTATTTATATGCACAACCAACGGCCTGGCCATACGATAAACATACATATTATCGATAACAAAACAACAACAACGACGACGACGACGATAATCAATCAATCGATCGGATTTCATCACCATTAACATTATCCAAATTCTGCCATTAAATCACATCCCTTCCACTTCCACTTTCACACCCACACATACACAAACACCATTACATCATTTTGTAAAGCCAAACACTACCTACCTATCTACCTATCTATGAATGTTTTTTTTTGAAACCTGGAAAATCTGCAAAAAGCAACAAAAAAAAGCAGAATTTCTGTTGTTTTTTTTCAAAATTCTTTGTAAATAAATAAACAAAATATTTCGTCTTCACACAAACAAGAAAAAACATTCATATTTTACAATAAAAATCTCAAAAACAAAATATATTTAAAAATTTCAAATGGCCAATTCAACAAGCGCAACGACCGGTCAGAACAAAGTTCAAAATAATGATAATTCAACGGGTGGAAGCGGTAGCGGTGGTGGAACGACAAACGCTACTGCTAATGCAACATCTAATGCTGCTGCTGCTGCTACCGCTTCTTCAACATCATCATCAACAACCGGTCAGCAACAAGGAACGACAACAGCAACAACAACAGGAACAGGAACTGGTCAACAAATATCAACAAATTCAACAACAAATCAAACAACAACAACAACAACAACGAATAATGCAAACCAAAAACTTTCAACAACTGATCGTATCATTAAAAGTAAGTTTTATCATTTTTTTTTT